ACACACACACACACACACACACATATACATATATATATATATATATATATAGAGAGAGAGAGAGAGAGAGAGAGAGAGAATGACTCTACCAGTTTCCTCTGCCCTGCCCACTCCCTACCAGCTAAGACATATGTAAATCTAACTACTTGCTTCCTCCTTATCTCCTCTTTTCTCATATTCCACTGGGGTAGAAGGGAAGGATTCTCTACTTTTTTTCTATCTTTTCCACCTTCTATTTTACCCTCATACCCTTGTCTTCATAGGACTGCAAGACTTATGGCCTAGCTGTCCTTTGTATCCCTTTCTATGCTACTGGGCTGCCTCTTGATATGGAAACCATGGGACTATTAGAAACTAAAGATTATTGAGTTTGAAAATACATTGATTTTCTCCTCCAAAATGTTGTCTGGATTATTCTTGGCATTTGTAGACATAGACAAAGTTGTAATCACAAGCATTAACTAGGATCATAATTCGGTTTCAAAGCTAAAATTGCTCTCTCTATGTTGTTGTTGAGTACTGTCGAGTCAATTCTGACTCAGCATCGACTCATAATGACCCTATAGGATTGAGTAGAACTGCCTCACAGAGGTTCCTGGACTGTAACTAATTTTTTTATTTTTTACATTTTTTTTTTTTTTGTGATTTAGGCGAAAGTATACAGAGCAAATTCATTTTCCATACAGCAGTCCATACACATTTTGTTTCATGACATTGACTACAATTCCCCACAATGTAACAGCTCTCTTCCCACTTCCTCCCTGTGGTTACCTCTTCTCTATATCCTTTCCTATGCATTATTGCCCCCTGAGCCATCTCCCTGTGCAAACACTGCCCTTCTATTCTTTCACAATTGATTGTTCTAAGGAGTGTATCTACCTGATGTAAATGTTCACCCTATATGCCTGTCTAATATTTGGCTGGAATCTACAGGAGTGAGTTCAGTTCCAGACCTGAAGGGTAACTGGGGACCATAGTCTCAGGGTCTCACCAGGCTCTATCAGGCCAGTGAAACGTCTTTTTTTTTTTTTTTCTTTTTCTTATGCTTTTGAGTTTTGTTCCACATCGTTCTCCCACTCTGTCCAGGATCTCCCGTACTGATCCCTCTCCAAGTGGTTGATGGTATTACCTGGGCCATAAACTTTACGGAAGCAGATGGCCAGGTCTTTTCTCCCAGAGCTATTGGTGGGTTCAATCGCCAACCTTTTTGTTAGCAGAGAGAGCTTTCCCATTCTGCCACTAAGGCTCCTTCCTCTCTCTATAAAACCAAAAAACCAAACCCACTGCCATCGAGTTGATTCCAACTCATAGTGACGCTCTGCCTATACAACAAGCTAAACGCCCTGATGTGGTCTCAAGCCAGCCTCCCTAGCTTTCTTTCTTTCTGCTCCTCTCCCCATGCCCTATACTTTGGTCAAATTTGACTCATCAGTATTTCTTGAATGTGCTTCATTTTTCTCACTTCGTGCTCTGGCTTACATAGGGTCTTTCTTACAAAATGTCTCCTTTGTTCCTTTCCCTGCTTCTTGAATTTTTTTTTTTTTTATGTATTAAAATCTTACACATCCTTCAAGACTTTAATCTTATGCCGCCTCCAACATATAACCTCAAATTCCTTTAATGTGGAGTAATTATTGTTTCTTCTAAGCTCTTTGTCTTTGTTGTGATCCTTATCACATTCTTTTTTATATTGTATTATATTAGTATATATGTCTGTTTTTTCCTTCTAGATTGGAAGTTCCTTGAGGGAAAAAAACTGATCTATACAACCATATACTGACCATACACAGCTCTAAGTCACCTGTGTTATCTGTCACGTTGCTTTGCACACAGAAAGCACTTGAAAATAAGTAGTGAGTGCACAGCCACACTTTTTCAGAAAGCTCTCTAAATTACTCACATTGAATGCTTTGAAACAAGTATGGTGGAGGTGTTGGGTTTTTTTTTTTACATTTGATGGCATTTGTCCATTAAATTTCTATGCAAGACCCCTTAGTCTAAGATCCAATGAGAGGTGAGAAACAGGTTTTCAACCATTTCTCCCCGGCCCATGAAATAGAATGTCATTATATTTATAGCAGTCTGCAGAGGCTCCCGATACATGGCAGCGCAATCATATATCAGAAGCCCCTATCATAAATGAGTTGGACAGGATAAGCCAACTTGAAAGAGAAAATAAAATATTATAACCTCAACTTGAAAAGAAAATACAGTGTGTGGTTTATTGCTGTGGATTATGGAGGAAGAAAGAACCGAATTTAAGTCAAAAACAGAAAAGCAGTGACACTCTTTAAACTCAATACGGTATTCACATGGCAGACACTAGACTTTAGAAAGCCAAACCTTCAGGCTCCTGCTCTGGACTATAAAATAGATGTAAAATTGCTTTTGCTGCGTTATGAGTGTGCCATTCTGGAGGCAAGGAATGTTTAGGGGGAAAAAAAAAACCTTGAAGCCAGCATGTTTCTTTCAAGTCAGAGTCTGTTTGTCAGAATCTCATGTTGCATTTTAAAGACTTTTAAAGACTGTGGCTTTGGGAAATTCCATTCTGAGGAAGTGAGACGGAAGAGAGACTTGGGAAGATTTGGAGTGAAGGAAACAACTTTAGCTGTCCTCGTGCTAAGTTCTGCAATTATCAGAAATATGAAGATAGCCTGAAGTAATGACATTCCCTTATTTCTAGAATTACATTTCATCAAGAGTGCCTTCCCTTCTTTCCGGAGCTTCCCAGTGCCCTCCGTCTTGATTGCTTGAATGTAGTGAGTCATTAACATCTGCTTCAGGCATGAAGGTATCAAAATGCCTCCTATGACCAAGGCTGAAAGAGGAAACACTAGAATGCATGTTTGTTGGTCAGGCTTGTTCTAGTCTAGAGGCACGAGGGTATTATATGCAACCACGGCAGAGGTTGATGGGACTAAGATATGGTGACATAGAAAGGGACTTGTGCAATGAGTGGAGGTTAATCAGATGGCCCCTGACCTGTCCAGCCCAGATGATACAATGGATGGTCCATTCGTTTCTTCTGAGTTACTTGAAAGCCGTGGAACCTGGATGAGATGTGCTGGATCCAGTCCTATCTAGTCACACATGTGTAGACATTCCTTTAGGCAAAACCCTGGAAAAGTCGAGGTAGTTTTTGGTTCTTTTACATGAACATTTCATGTTCTTAAGGTTATTATATGAACAGTTCCTAGTATCAGGGAAGGCACAACCAAGTGAAATGGAAATTATTTGAATCTTTTAGGGTGAGGCAGATTGTCTGGTGGTCTGATTCTGCCTGGAGGTTTATACTGATCACACTGGATCCATTCAATTCTTTATTTATGCACTCACTTATCCATTCATTTATTCTACAGGCATGAATTTATTTATCAAGTATTTTTTTCAGCTGCTTTATGCAGCTTTAAAAAAATTTTTTTTATGGTGGTAAATATATAGGTGACAAAACATTTGCTTTTTTAACAATCTTTGTGTGTACAATTCAGTGATACTTTGTTCTCACTTAAAGCGCTCCCTGTATGCCATATACCATGGACCCCCCACCATTTTCCAATTTGCATTTCACTGTTTGTCTAGGCAAATGATTTATCACCAGTTTGAGCCAAGGAAGGTAAGTTGAGCAGAATTTATTGAGTTAATTACTGGGCAAACGGTGGTTAGGGAGAAGTGAGTCAGGTGGATCAGACATCTATATGCCAGACCCAAGCCCCATATCAAGCTCCAATTTAAATATCAGACTAAAGGAAATGAGTTGAAAACAACAGCTATTATTGACAGAGTGGTTTTTGTTATTTTTTAAGGAGTAACTGAAAAAAATTAATAATATAAATACAGAAAAATAAGCAAATCAACAAACCAGTTACCATAGAGTGTATTCCAACTCATAGTGATCCCATAACTCATAATATTACAGGGTAAAGCTGCTCTATAGTGTTTTTGGCTGTAATCTTTAGGGAAGCAGATCATCAGGCCTTTCTTTCACAACACCAGTGGGTGAGTTCGCAGTGGCAACCTTTAGGTTGGTAGTCCAGCATAAATTGTTTGCATCACTTGGGAACCTTGACGTAAATATAATCCATACTTTTGTTTGTTTGTTTGTTTCCAGATCACAAGATTAAAAATTGACCGAAACCCTTTTGCTAAAGGATTCAGAGACTCTGGGAGGAATAGGTAAGAGTAATTGGGAAAGACATTTTTTATCTCTGTAACATTATTGTCACAATTTCCAGTGGTGGCCAGACTCCTGGTGTTTGGAAAAACACCCACACACTGCACTACTGTGTTGACACAGGCAGAGAGAAATGAACAGGTGACCCAAAAATGAAAAAAACTGCCTCCAAAAGGCTAAATTATCTAAATTGTTTGTTGACACTTTAAATCATCAAATCAAATCTGTCACGTTTTTTTCTCTTACATGGTACTTGGTAATCAGTTCCTTAAAACAAATTTCATGCATTTATTGTCACCCAAGGATTGTTATTTTTTTCTGAATAGTGTGTATTGTTGTTGTTGTTGTTATGTGCTGGCGAGTCGGCCCCGACTCATAGTGACCCCTCCTTGGGTTTCTGAGGCAGTATCACTACGGAAGTAGGATTGCCCAACCTTCCTTCTGAGGAGTGGCTGGTGGGTTTGAACTGCCAGCCGTCTGGTTAGCAGGCAAGTGTCTTAGCCACTATGCTACCAGAGTGTGTATAGCACCTGCAAAATGATACCTCATTTTATTTTCCATTATCAGGAAACAAGGAGTTGTGGACAAATAAAATTTTTCAGAAAATTATTAGCTTTAAGAGCTAAAATTTTATTTAAAAATCAGTAACTTTTCCCTAAGAAATATTTCCAAGGTTTATTACATGATCCCTGCTTTATGGTAAAGAGAGTTTATAGAGCATACCATGGAACCCAATCTTGGTGACCTACGATTGTCATTATGAGTAGGTTGTTACTGTGTACAGTGAAATTCTTAGGAATTGCTGAAACTTGTAGGACTATTAGCCCTTGTTGTTAAATGGCCATAGACACTGTGGTGTTTTTCTGGCTGATAATTCTTTCTAATAGTTCCTTTCCTATATAAAATTTAAATTTGTTATCTACAAACTTAAGAGAGTACCAAAATTGCCAAGGGATCAGGCCCTACATCACCAGAGCTCCTAGTTATATCTAAGGTTATTCAATCAGAAAGCTTCATTTTATATATAAATAATACTGTATCAGCAAATGTGACATTTATATCTTATGTTGTGCCTAAGCTTTGTGATAACCACTTAATCTAATGTTCAGATATTTTTAATGATTGTGGGATGTTTCTTTATAATTGGATGACTCAGATGGTCAGTGTCAAGTTACACTGCCAGAGAAAACCAAACCCACTGCTGTGGAGTTGATTCTGACTCATAGAGACCCTACAGGACAGAGTAGAACTGCGCCATAGAATTTTCAAAACTATAAATCTTTACGGAAGCAAAGTGTCTCATCTTTCTTGCATGGAAAGATGGCTGTTAGGTTCAAACCACCAACCTTTTGGTCAGCAGCCAAATGCTTTAACCACTGCAGCACCAGAGCTCCCTGTTGTTAGACAAGAGAGATGTTATTTGATATTCTTTGGTATGCTTTCTGCAAGTGTTTTCAGATAAACCACTAGTATTATATTGAAAATTATCTCATGAAATATGTAGTACATTATATTAGAATTCAGATTTATGCTAAAAATCAGTTGTGATCATTTCATTTACAAAAAAGATATGTGAAAGGGCTTCTTTATAAAATTATTACAGTACGTTTAAAACACATTTGGATTTTTGCAAATTTTATTTACTTCAGAATTTTTTTAAGGTCACATCTACTGAATAAAATAAAATTTGCTTACAATTCCAGTTTGCAGATGACAACATTGAGTAGCAATCCCTTCTTGGGTTTTGGAGGCAGTATCTCTATGGAAGCAGATTGTCCAGTCTTCTTTCTGAGGAGTGGCTGATGGATTTGAACCACCAGCCTTCTGGTTAGTAGTCAAATGCCTTAGCCACTATACCACCAGAACTCCTAATATGTTCTAGTTCAAGCAACAGGTTAGTGGTAGAGCCACAATAGAGCTCAGGCATGTGGACTCCAGGCCAAATGCTTTCCTTTTTGAAGATTCTTTGTTTAAAATTTGACAAAGTCCCTTATTTCCAAAATTTTACCAATGAAGAATTATTCTTTCATTTCCAATGGACCCCCTGCTTCTTCCCCATTAGCTTATTCCAGGTCTGGGTGCACAGTGTGCCAGTGAACTGTTTCCTATTGCCTTCTTTTCAGGACTCTGAACTCTGGGCCGACTCAAGACCTTGTTAGTAGTAAGGGGTCAGAGATAGAAGTTGGGCTTTCATAAAGAAGCCTCTAGATCTGCCTTGATGGTAATTCTTTGGAACAGGACATTCATGATAGGCTGTTTCTGCAAGTAGACCATAGGTAGCAAGGGCATATAAAATTTTAAGCTTGGAGCACATGGATGGGTGTATTTAAGGGGTTCTGTGAGTACGTAGATACTGTAAGCAAAATTGAATGGGACTGAATTTTTCTGAGGAGTTCTAGAGCTTTCTTCAGATTTTCAAAGATGTCTGCTTTAAGCACAACTATCTATCTTCAGTGGCCAATACCACTGATTTCAATTCTTCAACTCTTTCTTTATTTTTCTTTCCTTCTATAACCATAGCAGCATCTAGTATTTGTTTGTTTTCTTCTTGGCACTACAAAGATTGTCTTCTTTTACTTTTTTTCCCCCCATTGGAGTCCTTGTTCTCCAGAGTTTATGGTCATTTTTCTAAGGTTGAATTTGGGTCCTCAGTAAATGCTTCCCTATTGGTAGGTATCTCTCCTTGGAAGTAGGCATGTAGATGTACTTTGACCATTTGTAGTCTGTATTGCATAGTTATTAGGAAGTATATGTGTCAGTGATTCATAAGTGCCGAGAAGGAAAATAAATCAGGTTAGGAGACAGAATGATAGGGAAAGCCACTTTTACAGACTGGCCAGGAATGATCTCCCTGATAAGATGCCCTGAATGATGTGATAGCAGCTGCCAGGCAGGTCCCTGATTCTAGAGAGAGAGGAACCAGCAAGTGCAAAGAATAAGTGTACTAGGTGTGTTTACAAATCAGGGAACTGATGGTTTTGCATGAGAACCCAGTTTACCACTTTCCAACCAGTGTCTAATCTATTGTCTTTTTTGTGCTAACAGAGAGTTTTTATAAATCTGAGATCTTCCCAATGCATTTTAGACATCAAGTGACTCATACAGAAGGGCATGGTTTGATGAGCTGCATATAAATGTACCCAAAACATACGGATTACATTTCCTTTAAAAACACATGGGCTTAAAAATTAGGGGGAAAGTGCTTGGCTAATGTTTTTTGGTTTTGCAGAACACAAAACATTTGTTGAATACTTTGGAGTTACAGAATTTGCCAAACCTCAAACCAAAACGTGTTCAGGTTTGTCGATCTCAATCCATCCCAGCATGGCCCAGAGGCTCTGGAAGGGAAGACTATGACAGGAAGGATGAGGAGGACACAGCCACCCAATGCACTCCTCTAAAATGACTCATATATATCTTTCTTAGCCTGTAAGCCTCTCACAGCAGTGCTATCAGAGTGTGGTGGTTAGCTGATAGCATGTCCCTTTAAGTGTAGAGAATGCTTGAAGGACCTGTGGCTAAAGACACACTTCTTTTCCATTTTGCATTTTTCAGGGAGAGATATCCATGAAGAAGTCCTCCTGGCTTCTAACCCCATCCCCTTCTCATTCCTCCCACTGAGAACTAGAGTGACTGGTCTGGTTGTTGAGTCTGGGAGAAGGAACTCTTCAGGACCCATAGAGAACACACCCTTCCACACTGTTTTTCCATTGTGTGGTAAGCTTATCAGAGAGGGCCAGCACTTTTGGGGAGTCAGCTTACTTCAGGAGAGTTCTAGCCAGTTCATACAGCCTTCACACCTATACCATGGATTCCAGACACCTTTGTCAACAGTAAAATGGGCATTTTGGTGTCCATTATGTCAGCTCCCTGGGTGTTTCTCAGAATTTACTCTGAGCTCAGATGAGGATAAGAAGAGATATTCATAGTGTCTTCCAGAACCTCAGCAGCAGCCCCAATGAGTCCATGATGTCAGGCCTGCAGAGCCACAATCATGATATCCTGACACAGTACCCTGGCTTCTTTACGAAGTGTCATTCACAAGCTTCAGTGTGAGAACTTTCTTGACTGAAAGAGCTGCTAAACTCTGTTCCCATGTAATTAGGCCCCTGGTTAGAAGTCCTCACTGGGACTGTGTGTGTATGTATGTGTATGTGTGTGAGAGTATGTATGAATGTGTGTCATTGTGCATGTCAGTGTGTGAATGTGTGTGAGTGTGCGTGCCTGAGTTTGTGCATGTGTGTATGTAAGTGTGTATGTGTGTGAATTTGTCTTTATATGTGTGTCTATGTATAGAAGTGAGTGTATGTGTGTGCATGACTGTGTGTATAAGTATGTGTACATGTGTATTCATGTTGTGGGGAAGAGTAGTAGGTTGCATGACATTTCAGAGTGAAGGTACTGACAGATTTTGCTTCCAGGCGTTGTCTCTGCAAATGGGAGAGAAATTGTGTTTATTTCTAAGTTGCTCCAACTTCTAGATTTCACAGATTGTGTGGCCCAAATCTGGTATTGGGTGGGGTCAATATATGTTCATTTTTAATCAAGCCTACCCCAAGAGCACAATATCCAATGTTATCTCTAGGAAATTTCTCCTAGTAGGAGGAGACAGTAATGTCATCCTGTTCTTGGAGGAATAAAATAGATTCCCTCGCTTTGAGATTATATTTTCTCTCATGATCTGTGCTTCTGGGTGCTGGCCCCTGCTAGACTGTAAGCTTCTTGAGGACTAGGACTATGCCCTTTTCATATTTCTGTTCTTCAGTTTTCTCCACAGAGTCAGGTATACAGAATAAAATAATTGCATGTTTAGATTAAAAACAGAAAAAAAAAATGGTTAGAAGTAGAGACATTAAAAGTCAGAAACTCCAGAGTGAGAAAGTTTTACATCAACCAAGGATGGATAGGCAGAGCAAGAGTGGAAAGCAAGTTTTGGATACCAAATAAGAAGGAAATAAAGGCTGAATCTATAAATAGGCTTAGTTTGAAAGACTAAGGGCAA